GTGATTTCTTACTGTTTTTTTTTTTTTTTGTAGTTCTGTATTACGTGTACCCTTATACCGCTTTGTTTTGTTTTGTGTTTTTCTCTTTTTCCTTTTAAATAAAATTAAAAAAAAAAGAAACATACAGTCCTGGTGCTGTTATTGGAACAGCTAAAGGTTCAGTGCTCCCACTGCAGGGCCTGAACTCACACAGTGGTGACTCACTGAGCCATCCAAAATCCTGCCGCTTTGACTCACTGGAAACGCAGTCACATTGAGGTTGGGGGTCAGTGAGCCAAATGGAGAGCTGAGCTAGCAGGGAACCTGCATCGATCTGTGGTGAGTGATGGGAATAAAACCATTCCACAGAAAAAGGGGCTCAAACAGACAACATTCTGGGACCTGGCAGGACTGGCAAGAACAAGGGGCAGCAGTGACTTCAGTCAGTTGTTCCCTTTCTGAACAGGATTGGTGGAGTGAGCTTGGTCTGGGTCATGTGACCTGGCTGAGACCCAATAGGTTATCTGAAATGCATTTCCTATGGTGGTGACACACACTAATACAGTGAATGCCTCAGCAGGTTGACTGATTCGGAGGGGAGGGGCCAGCATATGCTGCTCCTGTTTGCAACTCACTAGCACACAGCAATGGGAAGGGTCACCTAGCCAGCATGCTTCGGAAGAATTGTAACCAGAAAGAAAGAAACTGGGGCCTCCTGGTAGAAACAAAAAAGATGGGAAGAGGAAACAACAACAAAGAGTTCCTACATCCCAGCCCTGAGAACATTAACAGGTAAATACAAAGGAGAATGAGGACAGCAAACATGCAATATCAGACATGGCACCAATGGATATAAAGAGATATCTCCGGGACCTCATAGATGGGTTCAAAAGTGAGATATTTAGCCAAATAAAGCAAGATATAAGAAGAGTAATAAAAGAGATGCTAAGCACCCCTCAAGAAGACACAGATGGAAGAATGAAGGGACTCAAACAAAAGAGAGAACCATTTGATGAAGAATATAAAGAAAATATAGAATACATGAAGAAGATTCAAAGAGATTACCAGGAAATTAAAAACTCTTTGGAAAGATGGCAAAACTGCTTGAAAGAAACTAAGGATAGATTGTCCAACCTGGAGGACAGGTTTACAATGTGGGATTATGAAAGGAAAAGCTTTTTTTAAAATAACAAGGAAACAATAAGTAACAACACAAAGGCTAGAAGATGAGAAGAGGATCTATAACTTGAGAATAAAGAATATGAATGAAGAAGCAGGGGTACAAACAAAGGAGCTACAAAGGCTATTCATAGAAATAATTTTTTTTTTTTTTTGGTCTTTTTCATTTTTACCGGTACCAGGGATCGAACTCACGACTGCCTGCTTGCAAGGCAGGTGCTTATGCCGCTGAGCTAAATCCCCAGCCCCTCATAGAAATAATTAAAGAAAACTTCCCAACCATAGGAAAAGGAAATGATATTCTGAAATATGAATCCAGCCACCTACTACCAAAACAGAGCTACACCCTGGCATATAATAAGACCCCAGAAATTCAATATAAGAACAGAATATTAAAAGCTGTTGGAGACAAGAAACAGATAACCTATAGAGGAAGGCCCATCAGAATAACCACAGACTTCTCGACACAAACCATCAAGTCAAGAAGAGCCTGGAGCAAAATATTCCAAGCCCTGAAAGAAAATAACCTCCAGCCCAGATTGGTATACCCTGCTAAACTGTCTCTAGAAATTAATGGAGAAACAAGAGGCTTCCAAGACAAAGAGGAACTTGGGAAATTCGCAACCACCAATCCAACTCTACAGAGAATACTGCAGGGCATTCTAGAGGGAGAGAAAAGTACTAGGATTCCAGGAACAGTGGCAGAGAGGCCTCAATGAATGGAGCAGAAAACAGAATGAAGAAGATAAGCAGACAACTGATGGCAAAAAAGAGCATAACAGAAATGAGGCAGAGAAAGGTTGGTTATAATCTCTAATACAGATGGCCTTGATACACTAAATTAAAAAATAAAAGAACCACACATAGAGTAGATCAGGAGGTACAATCCATCAAGATGCTATTTTTAGGAAATATAATTAACATTAAAAAGAGTACATGGACTGAAACTCAAATATGAGAAAACAATGCTCTATGTGACAGAGAACCAGAGAGTAATAGGGGCAATTAGACCAATATTTGTGGACAGGTTGGAAAGGTAAGCTTTAATAGGTAAAGGAATACAATTGGAGATCAAGTCTAGGAGAGAGAAGGTTCAGAACCACTTAGATAAATAGCAGCCCCCTCCCCCCCAGTTTAAAACCAAGGGTCTTGGTGAGACCCAAAAATGCACAGTGTACCCTGGGAAAGTGAAAGGGGAGGGAGAGTCTTAAAAAAGATGGCAGAAGATATTGCTAATAGTGTATCGGGATTTAAAATCCACATTACCCCCAGCATTCTGCTTAGATAGATTTTATTCTGTCCCAATTTGCCTACTTGCATTAGATTTGAGGGCACAGACAGCTATCCCAAAAACATTAGGATATAGCACAGTAATCATCTTTAATTTCCTACTAGCTTAATCTGGAGCCCTGTATGACTTATACTGTTTTATCATGACTGATCTTGGTTAAATCTGGTTTGTTTGATTGCTGTTTGGTATTGACAGGTTTTATTCAAAACTGATATATTGATAGTATCAAGTCTGAGAGTATAGGCAACTACCCTGAAGATGACAAGACTCATTACGATACACATTCTGGTTTGATTACTGCCTGTTTTTGAGGTTTTATACTATATACAAAGTTGTGTTTTTATTACTACTGTTATGTACTGATATATTAAATCATATATCATCATGTCTGATGATATAGCCAGTTCTATTGATGATAATAAGAGACAACACAGGAACTATGGTAGAGCTCCTTGTACAATGGTCTTATACGTCTTTTTTGTTTCATGTGTTTATAGGAATATGTTTTGTTTTGTCTTGCTTTGTTTTGTTTCTCCCTCTAATATAGAAAGGATAGAAATACATGTTAAGACCCATGCCTGTGTAGAACCTATAAATGGTTTATGAGAACTGATCTTATGACACATGATGAAATGAACAAATACTCTGAAGAAAAAGAGACACTAATGTACCCAGTGCTGATCCTGGAGTGTCATAATGTGAAACCCAGAAATAGTATTATTCTTTGTTTGGAGTGATATTAGCCTGCTTGGGCTTGTTAAGTCTCAACATAATTGAAGATATGGATTACTGCATGTATGTTTAAGTGTATAGGATTGATAACCATATTTCTAAGTTTTTGTTTGATAGTTGAACAGAACTGGTTGCAGTCTTACTGTTTGAATCCCCAGTTTATATGCTCCACTTTAGTATCTTGAATAACTATTTGTAAGAGGACAATGTAAACATCAGCTAGTGATTTCTTAATGTTTATATATTTTCTTTGAAAGTGTGTATTATTTCTACCTGTTTGCTGTTTTGTTTAGTCTTTCTTTAAATAAAGTTAAAAAATTGATCATACATAAGTAACCAATACTTATTTTCTGGATCAATTGCAATGTCTGTGAAACCTCTTTGTGGTTTACTCTGTGCTATGTCAATGAAAATGAAATTTTGTCAATTAATTTAATGTAAGAATTATAGAACAAGTTTTCTAAATAAACCTCATTTTCATAAAGTAAAATAAAAAATTTGCCGGGCTAGGGATTTAGCTCAGCGGCACAAGCGCCTGCTTTGCAAGCCTGCATTCGTGAGTTCAATCCCTGGTACTGATAAAAAAATTTGCCAAAGTAAACAAATTGCTCAACTATTATATTATACAGTGTTTTATAACATCATAAAGTATTTTGTGAAATTAACAGTCTTGAGGCATTATGAAAACTTCTTATACCAACTAACAGAATTAGGCCAACTTTCACTGATTAATGCTGTGCCTTCTATGAGATTACTCTTACTTTAGATTACAGCCACAAGTTTAGGAGTTCCTAGGGATATCTTTATTTATGATCAACAGACCAAAAGTTTAGGGATCCCTTTGACTTCATCAGGTTTCATAATTGCAGAAATGGCTCTGTGAACTAACTCAAGATTATACGATACTTAATTATACCAAAAGAATACAAATCAAAACATATGGGATGAAATCTATCAGAGTTCCAAATGTGAAAGTTCCATAGACCCTCAATTTATTTTACCTTCCAGCCTTATAACTTGAGGAAATATGAGAACATTCTCAATTGGAAACTATTTTGAGCTTTGATGCTCAAGAGATTTTACTGGAGTTCATTATACAGCAGGATTGATTGCATTATGGGTCATAAAGTTGAAATCCATCTCCAGCATGCCTTTCTGGCTCAGGTGGATAGCTCAAGGCTCAAAATCCCTATACTTGAATCACATGGCTTCTCCCAGCATGGTCAGTCCCCCACTGGATGTTCTTGTTATTATAAGCTATCCAGGGCCACCATGAGAGACTTCAGTCGCTTAAACTATCAGGGACCATCACAGATAATGTGAAAGTCCTACTGCTTGGAAAACTCCAAAAAGTTAAAGTCTACTATCTTTGCAACTGAGTTAATTATGGATAAACAGCAGGGATAAGCCAAGAGCAGAGAGGTACAGCTTCAGGAAGAATAAGATCTAAGTTGTTACTTTCTACCACAGTAGAGTAGGAAAAAGGGGAGGATGACATCTGAGTTTGTGTCAATGATATTCTTAAAATGTGGTACAAATAAATTGTTCAATTAGCCACAAATGATGCAGTGAATGTAATGTGCACAAGTGTTTGCTCACTTTGACTGGTTCATAAATAATTACAATTGACTTGAAAACACATCTCTTTTGTAATGGGTTCATACACCAGAGTTATCAGGAAAGACTTCTAATTTCTTGGTTCCTCTCTTCATTTCCTTCCTAGTTTCTTCCCCTGCCATATGAGTTCCCACTTTTGTTACAATGTCATAATTTTAGTATGTTCACAGGTTTCAGTGCTGGTCTTGGGAACTGGGCCTCTGTGTGTGGATCGAGTGGCTACCCACTCTGGCTTAATTCTTGTGAGACTTCCCTCAGGATCCTTGACCTTTTATTGTGAGTGATATAATCTTGTTGAATGATTGAGCAATTTACCAACGTGTTTGTTCCCTATTTATAACATGCTTTAAGGCAGATCTGGAGCATATTTTCTGAGAAAGTAGAAAGTGTCTTCTCAACATGACTCCCAAAAAGATTCGTGCTGAAGTGAGGTTCAGAAATGAATCAAAGTTTTCAGGACTTTATTCAGGCTCTGCAGAAGGTAAGAAGATTATTTTATAGTAGTTTCAGTTAATAATGAGGTGAATGATGAAGCTAAGGTTAATAACAGGACACAGGTGGTGTTAGTGGCTGGTTCTCTTAGTGTCCATGCTGGAGAAGCACCAGCGTCTCAGCAGATTGAGTTGCTTGTAAATAGAGGCATTAAGGGAGGCTATGGAACTGTATGTTGAGAAATAAAAGATCCGTGATTCTGTCTTTATTGTAATCATTAAAAAACTTTGATTTGCACTTTAATGCATATCCATCTACATCTATATATAAATACTTTTTTCTAATAATTAAGTCATATCATGTGACACTGAAGTATTCTTCCTCTCCACTTGACAATATATGGTAAATTTAAGAAAATGATTTTATTTGCCTGGTACTTTTATCCTGATAGAAGGTTTTGCTTTTCTCTAGTGCTGGGGACTGATCCCAGGTTCATGGATTCTAGGCAAGTGCTCTACCACTAAGCTACACCCCTGCCCTTAAATGGTTTCTAACTATGAGATGATGACTATGAAGACTGACCTTACCTTGAAAATGTGAAATAAGATTATAAAGATTTGTCTACTATCACATCATTTAAAGTGAGAAACAATCTCAAAGAGTATTTAAATATGTAATGAAATACTATGCAGCTATATGTGAAGAAGAAAACATAGTGATATAAAAATGTTTATGATTCATCATAAGAGAAAACAGTAAGTCAGATTTCTATATGCTGTATCATGAGATAATGTATCTATATAATTTAATAATGGTTAAAAGGATAAAAATGGTTACTTTAAAAGATAAAATTTATGCTTTTATGAATTTGGTAAAGTTTCTACTATGAACATTATAATTTCTTTCTTATCCAATTTTTGTATCATTTCAAATATTCATCCTATTAATGACTATCTGCCATGCAAAAAAAGGAAGAAGGCTGGGGATTTAGCTCAGTGGTATAAGCATCTGCCTGGTGAGCACAAGGTTGTAAGTTCAAATGCCAGTACAAAAAAAAAAAAAAAAAAGAGGAAGAATAAGATGAGGAGGAAGATGAATTAAAAGCAGAATTTGTTTCTGAAGTAAGTAAATAACTTAGTTTCTTCTTTAGATCCCAAAGAGAAGGTCATCTCTCACAAAAGTAATCCTGGTCTTTCTAAGCTGCTTGTGGCCTCATTGCTGATACTCTTTTTGCTGAAGACAATCTTATCATCTGTCCCTTCTATCAGTAAGTGCAACATTTGAAGCAATAAAGCAATGTGTACCTTATGTGAAGAAAAGGTGTTCATTGGAAACTCTCATTTAACACTAGGTTCATCTAACAAAACAAAACAAAACAAAACAAAACAAAACAAAACAAAACAAAAGGTTCACCTAGAAAGCTGAAAAAGAAATTTCATCTGGGAATTTATGGGAATTCATGAAGAGTTTTGGTCTTTATTTGGATTTAGTTCCTCGACTGCAAAAATAATGGAATCCATTCTCTTTAGAGCAAATGCGTGTGTATGTGTTGGCTCTGTAGAGGGAAATCTATGAGGCATCATATTAGTATTAGACTCGGTAAATGAGAAAAAGTGTGTATAACTTTAGTGGGAATTACTTTAAGAGTACAGACAGTTGTTTTGGGATGAGCGGACAGAGAAGAGGGAAGATAGGGAGTAATAGTTCAGGAAGTCTTCTCCAGTGAATTTTATTTGAATTATTTTGGTTCACCAAAGACTGTGTGAGATCTAAGTTTCAATGTAGAAAATGGTATATAGGTTTACATATTTTGGCTAATAGAATTTATCAAAATTTTTAAAAGAATACATTTAGCACATTTTGGATCTTTCATTTATTTTGTCATTCAAAAAGTGCTAATTACTAAGAGCCATTTGGTATATGGTCACAAGAAATTTGGAACCTGAATAGGCTTCCTGGGGGGAGAGGGCATCTAGAATTATATGTACCAAGGACAGCACAGACATATGAGAGCGCAGGGAAATGGGAATAAATGTAAGTATGCATAGATGGAATATATAGTGTTACATGATAAAGGAAGAAATGAACCTACAGGCAGAGAGAGACATTATCAAGGATCAGATCATGAGTGTTGTATAGCATTAACAGTGTATTTTTCCCTAAGACTAATTTATAAAGTATCTTTCCTGCTTCATTAACCAGTCTAAAGTGTAGCAAAGTACAAATACTATTTATCTCATGTTTGTGGGGTTGGCCACTTAGAATGATCTCAGTGGGAGGATAATGTGGTCTTGGCTGAGCTCACTCAAGCATGAGTAGTCAGGGAGCTGTCACAGGCAACTTGGCTTCTGAGGAAGAGGATGACAGCTGAAATCACAGGGGTAATTAGAGACACATTTCTGCCATCCTTCATTAGGCAAGCCCAGCTGTGTTCACCTGGCACCTTGCAGACTTTCTAGCTTGAGTTGGATCCAGTATGCAGAGGGCTCTTCACATTTTATCATCCAAAGGAAGGCTTAAATAGCATCCACCTTCAAGAATTAGAGAAGACAGGCCTTTGTTCTAGATTGGATAAGCTGCAAATTGTTGAAAGTCGTGAATAAAACAACTGTCTATAAATTGCAGCTATTTTTACAATGTGACAAAGTCATGGAGAACTATGAAATAATTTGATGCAGGTAATTAATATAATCATATTTGACGTGTAGAAGTGTGCTTGAAGGAAAGGAGAAGGCTAATACATCACCCCAGTTGAGAAATAGTGAGGGTTTGATCTAAAGACAGTGAAGAATGGAGGAAGAGGTGGCTTGTGTGATAAAAAAAGATAGAACTAAGCAGATAGAGTGTTGATGAACATTTAAATACTTGCATAAAAACCTAGAGGGGTTGTATATCACTCCTATACTGACTTGGTAAATTAAGAGAGGGAGGCAATACAGAATGAGAACCAAGTTTAGGTTGTAAGTGGATGATTTAAGTTTGGGATGCTGAGTTAAACCTAAAATGTACATGTCTCGAGGAAGATACATTAGTCTGGATTCAGGATGGAGAAGTGAATTTGGAAGGCAGCAGGTAACAATATCACACAAGAAGAGTATTAGTCTAAGAATGGTGGGTAAGGTTGGTACTCTGGGGGGGTCAGAGCCAGTAAGATAGAGAGAGTTAAAGGAAAGAAGGGAAGGAGAGCAAGTTCTCCTGATTTAAGGTTGGATTATTTTTGTTTAATTTTCTATTTTTTTTAAAGTTAACTCAGAACCCATGAGAATTAGAGAATTCCTCCCTTTCCCAAGATTTAATCTTCATATGTATTTTACATGATATTTGAAGGACAGTATGGGAAATATTGTTCTATTTTAATGGAAATATTGTGTCTGTCTTTTTTTGCACTAGTGATCTTTCAGCTATTCCTGGAGACATCTATGCTTACAAGTCAGTAGGGTTAGGATCCCATTGACTGTGGAGTGATGGGAAATCGTCTCCAGCCAGTCTTTGTCTATTCACATAATTACACATTTATACAGCTTTGCTTCTAGAGGGAATTAAAGAAAGTAACATAATTAGTGTGCTACCAGGAAAATGATTGGTTTTTACTTTTTTCTAGTTTTATTTCAAAAATATTCTCGGCATCTTGAAGAAAAAACGAATGTAAATGGACTAGTTCATACAGAATTGGAGTGTGTGAAAAGCAATTCGACCACACAAGGTAAAACTTAATGTATCTAGACTGGCATTGCTTACTATAGCATGTAAGGAACATAACACTGTTTCTAATTAGGATCTCAGGAAGATCCTAGTGAGAAGTAAAATCTAGTCATTGTAAGCTTCCAGTGAACAAATATCTTATGTGTGCACCTTAATTTGTCTATGCAAGGATTGAATGTAGTAAAGGTTATATTGTTTTTGGATTTCTTCTGCCTTTGCTTCTTTCTGTGTTCACTGCTCTTTCTCGCACATCTCAGAATCATTTGATGAAAATGATGATGGTGCCTACATTATGACAAATGTGAATTATTTAAAAATTAGGGCTGGGGATATAGCTCAGCAGCACAGTGCCTGCCTGGCAAGCATGAGATCCCAAGTTCCATATCTGGTTATTCCTGTCTCCTCGCCTCTCTTAAATGAACTTATTATTAAGAACATTTTTATATCTACAAAAATAAGCAGATAACCTGAAAAGATAGTATGTAAAACCCACTCTGGGGACATAATGTATACTCTCCTCTATTAGTGACATATTACAATAACAAGGGAATTTATTCTGATTAATGAATCAGCGTTACTAACAGTACAATTCATGACTATATTTGTGTTTTCTCAATTTTCACCTACCGTTCTTTCTTTCTTTGAGAATTCCTTACAAGGTGCAACATTCCTTTTAGTTGTCATGTCTTTTTTAGTCTTTTTTTGATTGTGGTAGTTTTATAGATTTTCTTTTTTTCTGATGATCCTGATTGCTATGAACAGTACTGGTTGGTGTATTTCAGGATGTCTCTCTGTTACAGGATGATGTTTTTTGATAATTAGATTGGGATTATTGGCTTTTGGCATGAAGGTAGCAAGTGTAAAATGCTAATTTGATTATATACTATGTACAGTATATATTATTATGGTGATTTTTTTCCTTTTGGTATTGACATTTATCCCTTAAGTGAGGTAGTTTTGTTCAGGTTTTTCCACTGTAAACCTTTTGTTTTCTCTTCCTTTTTCCACAGTACACTGAACAGTTGTTATGTGAGGTCCACACATTTGAACTGAAGAAATGTGCTTCCTATCTTTTGACACAGAATGTACATTAGTGAGGGTTCTCAGAGGTTCTCTTTATTTTGACATGGCCATTGGTTCTGGTGTCCCTTTGACATATTACTAATTATGTGCTTTTGTTTTCTCACTTTCTTACTTTCTTGCATTGCAAAACTTTACAGGCTCATGTTACATATTTCCTCTACTTATCCTAGAATCCACCACTTTTCTCAAGGTCCCTTGTTACTTTTATCCTGGATCCTACAGAATTAGACATGTTGTGTTTTTATCAAATTCTTTTTTTTGTCTTTTTCCTTTTTATATTTATTTATTTTGATTCTTCTTTGACCTTATGTATGTAAAAGGGTGTCATTTAGTTCCCAGTGTTTGTAGATTTTCTTGTTTTCTTCATTTGAGTCAGTTGGAGGATACTCTATATGTTTTCAACTTTCTAAAGAAAGGATATTCCTCTTCTGAGTGGAGTGTTCTAAAAATGATGATTGGATTCTCTTGGTTTATGCTAATTTTGAAGACTTCTGTGTTGTGGCTTATTTTCTTCATAACTGTAAACAGCTATACTGATATATTTTTAAATTTATTCTTTCCCTGGCATCAGTTCATATATTTTTTAACTTCGTTGTTTGGTTTAGGAACACAATACTACCCTCCATTTATTGTTTTTCTTTCTATTTTATGTCTGTTCAGTTGTAGTTCCCATTGTCTTCTCTGCCTATTCACTGATTTCTGTCCTCTGTATTCTGTTGTTAAACCCATCTGATCTTTTAAAAGGTTATTGTATTTTCTTTTCTTTCTTTTTTTTTGAGATGAGGTCTCGCTATGCAGTTCTGGCTGGCCTTGAGCTCACTTTGTAGCCCAGGCTGGTCTTGAACTCGCAACAATCCTCCTGCCTCAGCCTCCCGAGTGCTGGGATTACAGGCGTGAGCCACCACGCCCGGCTTATTGTATTTTCAATATGAAATTTTTGTTCTGTTCTTTAGTATTTCTTTGAGGAAGCTTTCTATCGTTTGAAGATTGTTCTTTTTTAAAATTTTATTTAAAGAGAAAAAAACAGAACAGAAAAGGGTACAAGTAATACAGAATTTCAAAAAAATAAACAGTAAGAAATCACTAGTTAATAGATTGTATATTGTCAGAAGATTGTTAATTCTTGTTGAAACATTTTTATCATGAAAGATCCTTATAAGATAGCCCTATTGTTTTTCTTTTTTATGTTGTTAGCATGTATTGATTGTCATTAAATAAAATTTGAGAACTTTCTGGTTCTTGGGATGATGAATTATTTTCTGAAAACCATGGCATTTTTGCCTTATATTCTTAGAATCTCATTTAAACATTAGGTTTCAGTCGGTTCAGTTGGTTGTCTTAACGACTGAAAGGCAGGAAAGACAATGAAATCTTCCAACTGAGCAACAGACATATAATAGAAAGAAAATAATAAATGGAGGGTTTGATGTAAATTCTATGAGTTCTAGCAGATTCCACATGGTGGCTTTCAGGCCTTCATTTTAGTAATGCACACATTTTAAACGCTGTTTTTGTATTGTATTTATATTTCCCAATAAAGAAAAGGTTTGGAGCTGTTGCCCAAAGAATTGGAAGTCATTTAGTTCCCACTGCTACTTTATTTCTACCCACTCCAAACCATGGAATGAGAGCAAGGAGAGCTGCTCTAGCATGGAGGCTCATCTGCTGGTGATCAACACTGAAGAGGAGCAGGTACAGTCTAAAAAGATGATGGAAACTGATCCTTGTTTATTATATATGTGTTTTTGCTGAGAAAGCTTTATTCTTCAGTTTGGGATATTGGTGTTGTGGTAGAAAGCTTTCAATAAAATAGAAGAGAGAGTACCCCTCAGTCTTTACATTCCATTTCTGCTTCCTGATGCATTAAAACTAACCTGCTCCAAAAGAAACAGTTGCAATATATATGGGGTTGAGTAGGAGGATGAATTTGCATGCAATTCCAATTTGTAATTTTGACATTTAAGTATTTTATATATTGTGAACTGCATAATTCAGGGGACAATAAGTTAAATAGGGAAATAAAATTAAATCATGAAGATACAATCAGCAATCCAGAAATAGATTATATTGGTGATTTTTTTTTTTTTTTGGTATGTGGAATTAAACTCAGGAACTTACACTTGCCAGGCATGTGGTTATGCCTCTGAGCTATATTCCCAACCTATTTCTGATGTTTTGAAAGGAAAATGATTAAATCTATTAATATTTCCTTGTGTAGAACCTGGAAGAATGCTATATCTTAGTGAAGACAAGAGGAGAGTGAGTCTGAGATGAAAACTCACTGTGATCATAGACAGCAACTGTTTGTGCATATAATGAAAATCAGACTCACAAGTGATGTCTTTGACCCTGCCCTAGTCAGCTAAAAGCATGCACTTCTAGGAGACACATGTGACTATTCCTGGATATTTCCCTTTTCATTTTTTTTTTTTTTTTGGCATGGGGAATTGAACTCAAGACCTTGTGCTTGCCAGGAAGGTGCTTTGCCCCCTGCCCTTCATATTTCTTTGACATTATAGAATTCAGTTGATATCAGAGTCACACACACACACACACACACACAAATACACACACATAGGCACACACATACCACAAAGAAAGTTACAGACATAATGCAAATATTTTTCCTTTTTATCGGTACTGGGGATCGAACTCACGACGGCCTGCTTGCAAGGCAGGTGCTTATGCTGCTGAGCTAAATCCCCAGCCCCAATGCAAATATTTTTAATAAAATACAAATAATTCAAAAGCACATTATAAGATCATTTACCTTGATCAATTTAACTTCATTCCAGAGCAAAGATGGTTCAACATATGCAAATCAAGAAATGCCATACACCACATAAATAGAATCAAAGATAAAATCACATGGTCATTTCAAGTGACATATTTCAATTGATAAAATTTAACATCCTTTCATGATAAAAGTCATGAAGAAATTAGGTATTGGATTATTCAACAATATAGTAATGATCATATATGACAAACCAACAGCCAACATCATTCTACATTGGGAAAAATGAAATATTTTATGTATGATCAAAAATAAAGCAAGGATATAAATACTCAATATTCTTATACAATATAGATCTCAAAATTTATCACAGCAATTATGCGAGGTAAATAAATGAAAGGGATACAAAGAGGAAAAGAAGTCAAATTAATCTTGTTTGAGATGTTTGAAAAGCCCCCCACCATGATCCCATGAGTCTTTGGGGGGGACATCCTGGCACAAACCATAACAATAGGAAAATGAATGGATCTGGAGACCATCATGTTGAATGAAATAAGTCAGAGTATGTTTTTTCGAATACATAGAATCTAAAAAAAGATGACAAAAAATCAGTAATATAATCTATTTCTCGATTGCTAATTGTATCTCCATTATTTAATTTTATCTCCCTATTTAACTTATTGCCCCTCTGAATTATGCAGTTCACAATATATAAAATACTTAAGTGTTGAAATTACAAATTTGAATTTCATGCAAAAATACGTTGATCCTCCTACTCAACCCCATATATATTGCAACTGTTTCTTTTGGAGCAGATTAGTTTTTTTTTTTTTAATTTAAGAGGAAAAAGAGAAAAACACAAAACAAAACAATGCGGTGTAAGGGTACACGTAATACAGAACTACAAAAAAAAACCATAACAGTAAGAAATCACTTGTTAGTAGATTACATATTATCATCTTGAAAATAGTTGCTCAAATCACAGTATCAAAGAATACAAGGTGGACATTCAAACAGGGAGACTGCAAACAGCTGTGTTCAATGATCCAAAAACATTGATATAGTCAGCTATTTAACACCCCTAACACACTTGCTGTTATATCCATTAGATGGAGCAGGTTAGTTTTAATGCATCAGGAACTAGAAATGGATGTAAAGACTGAGGGGTACTCTCTTTTCTATTTTATTGAAAGCTTTCTACCACAACACCAATATCCCAAACTGAAGAATAAAGCTTTCTCAGCAAAAACACATATATAATAACATCTTGTTTGAGATGATCCTATATGTTGGAGACCTAAAGTCTCCACCAAAAGAGTTTTAGAGTTGATAAATTCATCAAAGTTGAAGGATATAAAATCAACTTTTAATATTAATAGCGAAAATGTGAGGGAAAAAAAGAAATCTTGTACACTGTTGGTGAGTATGCAAATTAATATAGATAGTATAGAAATTGATATGCAGATTCCTCAAAAAAAATAGAGCTACCATTTCATCCAGCTATTCCACTCCTTGGTATATACTGGAAGCTGTTAAATCAGCCTGCTGTAGGAATTGCATACCCGTATTTATTACAACACAATCCGCCATAGCTAAAATGTGGAACCAGCTTATCTGTGCACCAACAGATGAATGCTAAGTGAACTGTGGTATATGTACACAATGGAGTATTAATCACTCATAAAGTATAATGAAATTTTGTTATTGATAGGTGCCTTGGTTACTTTTCTCTCATTGCCGAGACAAAATATCCCACACTCCAAATTAAGAAAGGAAGGGTTTATTTAGCTCACAGTTTGTGGAGATTTCAGTTCATAATCAGCTGGCTCCAAGGCAGAGTGGCATGGCACAGGGGCAACACTTTGAAGTGGCAGAAGACAGAAAAAAGCAGCAAGTGCAAAATGTGGGGAGAATAAGCCTCTTCTCCTCCCTTGTACTCAGTATGCTGGCTACTCACCCCTGGATAAGTGCAGCATTCACATTGCCAATCCCAGCACTAGACAATGAGCCAATCACAAATGCTAGACTCAGCCACCTTTGAAAGCCCCCCACCATGATCCCATGAGTCTTTGGGGGGACATCCTGGCACAAACTGTAACAATAAGAAAATGAATGGACCTGGAGACCATCATGTTGAATGAAATAAGTCAGAGTATGTTTTCTCAATACGTAGAATCTAAAAAAGATGACAAAAAAGTAGAATTGTGACTATGATCAGACAAGTGTAAAGGAATATAAGGGAGAATTAGAGGGAGTTATAAAAACAGATAATAAGAAGAATGAATATAATCCAAATATAGTATACAAGTTGAAATTCTCCCAGTGTGAAACTAGAGGGAAGGATAGGGCAAGGAGGGTGTCAGAGGTGGGGTTAGATCTATATTATGTGCATATACAAATCTGCCAAAATCAAGCTCATTAATTTGTATAACCAATATAAATATAAAAAATTAAAAATGTTTAAGGATATGTACATGTTAACTACCTTGGTTTAATCATTTTGCATTGGATGTGATTATCTAATTATCACATAATTTTGAAAATTTCTACAGTTAATCTAATAATTTAAAAATTAAAGAAAATATAAAACTTCTTTTAAAAAGAAAGAGAATCTTGTTCAAGATGAGTGCTCCACAGATGATTACTCTATTCATGTTTTTCACCACCCCCAGGATTTCATCATCCAGAATCTGAAAAAGGATATTGATTATTATATAGGACTGTCAGATCCAGAAGGTCAGCGAGATTGGCAGTGGGTCGATCAGACACCATACAACGAAAGTGTTGCGTGAGTAAAGTTTAAAGAATCCTGGTCCTGGATCATCTCGGAAATTTGTGGTATTCCAGTTCTAACTTCTGAAATGAAAATAGCTCAACCTTGTATAAACTGTTAGGTACAGAGTTAATAGCTTTATTATCTTTTTATTCATTACAAGACCCGTATAAAGTCTATGTTATCTTTTCTCCTTTATAAAGATGAGCTGTTAAATCAACCTGCTGTAGGAATTGCATACTCATATTTATTACAACACAACCCGCCATAGCTAAAATGTGGAACCAGCTTATCTGCACACTGACAGATGAATGCTAAGTGAACTGTGGTATATGTACACAATGGAGTATTAATCAGCCATAAAGTATCATGAAATTTTAGAGCTTAGCATTGTGAATAATTCAGCAAATGTCACTCAACAATGGTCCTCCAATTCAGGTGGATTCCACTTTGCTGTTAATCTTTTCTTTATATAAAAATACACTGTGATTAAAATTCTAATGAAGATTTACTATTTCTAAACTGGGCATAGTGGCACATGTCTATAATCCCAGCACTCATCAGGCTGAGGGAGGAGGATCATCATGAGTTCGAGATTAGCCTGGGCTACAAAGTGAACTTAAGCTAGTGAGATCCGTCTCAAAAAGACAACCCCCCCCCAAAAAAACAAAAAACAAAACAACAAAAAGAGATTTATTATTTCCCAGAAAGCAAAATCCTTAAAATCAAATACTTGTATAATATTTTATATTTATATAATTCTGTAAAAGCCCTCAAATATTTTAGTATATTTGACCTTCACATCTGTGCTAAGTATATAGTGATGTTACTTACTCTAGTCCCAATTTTTAGGTGGGAAATGTGGAAATCAAGAAAGTTAAATAATATATGCAAGAAAACTTGAATAAAAGAAAATTAGAGACTTTATCTAAATCTGCAGGCATCTAAATAATTTCATTAAAAAATACAGAAATATATTGATGCACTGGACCAGAGTGAACAGGATCTAAAGATGGACAGATACCTGAAAGGCTATGTGATATCTCCTGGGAGGATACTTAATGCAAGAAGGTGGGAGGGTACTAAGTGATGTGGGCACCATCTCCAAGGGAAATGCCAGGCGTGCAGGTGAAGGAGGAGCTGCTTATGAAGTGGGGGAGCAGTTAATTTGGGCGTATCTGACCAACATCCATAGAGATCATTACCAGGTCCCACCTGCTTTCTATTGGAAAAAATACCCTCAGATTTTTCTCTTTCAGATTCTGGCAAGAAGGTGAGCCCAATGATGAGAACGAGCATTGTGTTGAGTTAAGGCATTTTCATTATAGAAGATGGGGCTGGAATGATATCTCTTGTCATCTTGGAAAAGGGACTGTTTGTGAGATGATGGAGATCTACTTAGGAAATACACGTTCTCTGTAGTCATGTAGTCTGAATCGAACCCATCATTATAAAGATAGCTAATAACGTCTCTATGTGTAAGAGATACTTGTAGAATTTTAGAGATGTGATCAACTATTTCATTTGTGAAAAATTCCACGTACTTACGTTTTTAGTCATTCATCATGTCATGCTAAAGTGGGCACTGACTGAGCCCTTTTCATGTGGCAGAAACTGCGGCAGACCCCTTTTGCACACAAAGTCTCAAGAACCTCTTTCCTAATTTGTTTCTGAAATTGTTTACTCATGTTACAATTTTCATGTTTACAATTATACGATATTTCCTCATGTTTCATCTATTTTTTCTTTTTGCTTTACTGTTTTATAATTGACAATAAAATTATAAGAACATAAGCTAAAAGAAATTGATTTAATACACATATGTACTGTGAAATGTTTGCCATAGTCAGGTTAATTCACACATCCATTACCTAGCATAATTACAATATTTTTGTGTGTGTAGTAAGAACATTTAAGATCTCTCAAGCAAATCTCAGATATACAACATTGTTAAACAGAGTCACCGTTCTGTAAAGTGACTCTTCAGACATTGTTGATTTCTCTCTTTTATTTTTTGGTACTGGGGATCAAACTCATGACTCTGCTCTTGTCAGGCAGGCGCTTATGCCACTGAGCTAACTCCCCAGCAGTCTCTTAACTGAATGTTTATACCTTTTAACTACTGTGTCCCCTTTCCCCCAACCTGGAATTTCCCTCAAGCCTACTCTGTTTTTATGAGATTGAGTACTTTTTTCGTTGCATTCAAAGTCTTTTTTTATTGTTTTTTTTGGGCTAATTTTGCTTAGATTTATGGTGTCCAGATTCATTTATGTTAGACAGATACTCTTTCTTATATCACAAAATAGTTATGCATTTTATGGTAAGAGTTATAATATCTTCTATTATACTTAATAGAATTCTCCCAATTTTCTTTGTTAGTCAAAGTAAAGTTTTTAAATTGTCTTTACAAACACCAACTAATAAATTTATCTTTTTCTCTTATTTATTTAGCTATTTATTTATACTCTGATCTTTATTTCCTTCCATTTTTTGGCCTAGGTTGTGATTTTTCTAATTTGTGCTCATGTAAATTTAGAGTATTTGAGAGTTTTTTTTTTTTTTTTTTTTTAAAGTAGGTCTTTCTAGCTCAAAATGTTATTTTTGGGCTGTTTTCTCTGTATTTCTGTTTTTCTGCATTTCTATTTCAGTTTGTTTTAAGATATTTTCTTAGTTCTCTTCTGATTTCTTCTGCTTACTGTTCAAGAAAGTTTCCATTAGTTTTACTTATCCATTTTCTCTTGTTGATTTCTGATTTTGCACCATCATTATTAGAAAAGATAGTTGAGATGACATTATTCTTTTAACATGTGTTTAAGTATTATTTTTTTGCCTAATATATGATCTGCTCTGAAGAATGTTCCATGGGTGCATGAGAATGATTTGTGTTCTGTTGCTGTTGAATGGAATTTACTGTAGGTGTTTATTAGGTCAGTTTGGCCAGCAGTATTATTACTGTGTATTCTTGTTCATTTTCTTTGTTTCTTTGTTGCTTGCTTGCTTTCTCTCTCTCTCTCTTTCATTCTTTCTCTTTTCTTTCTCTTTCTTTCTATCTTTCTTTCTTTCTTTCTTTCTCTCTCTCTTTCTTTCCTTCTTCTTCCTTCCTTCCTTTTTTCTTTTTCTTTTTTGTCTTTTTGAGACAGGGTCTTACTATGCAGTTCAGGCTGGCCTTGGGCTCACTTTTTAGCCCAGGTTGTCCTCAAATTTGCAGTGATTCTCCTGCCTTGGCCTCTGAGTGCTGGGATTAGTGGAGTGTGCCACCATGCCTGGCTTCTTTGTTCATTTTCTGCTTACATGATTTATCTATATTTGGGAATGATATATTAAAATAGCCTAGTATTATTATTGTGCTGTTTATTTCTTCTTTCATTTTTGTTAGTAATACATTTGTACATTTAGGCGATCTGGTTTTTGGGTATATTATTATTTGTAATTATCTTGCTAAATAACCCCTTCATCATTACATAATGAATTTTGTTTTTTATTACAGCTTTTGGCATAAGGATTTTTCTGTTGCAATAAGTATAGTCACCCTTATTCTCTTTATTTGACATTTGCATAGCATATCTTTTTCTATCAATTCATTTTAGCCAATGTTTGTCTTTTTTTAAAATTTTATTTAAGGTGAAAAAGAAAAAAAACAGAAAAAGGGTACAAGTAATACCAAATTTAAAAAATAAACAGTAAGAAATCACTAGTTAATAGATTACGTATTTTCCTCTTAGAAATAGTTGTTCAAGTTACAAAATTAAAGCATATAAAGTGGACTTTCAAACAGTGAGACTGCAAACAGTTTTGTCCAATGATCCAACAAAACTCAGTAATATGGTTATCTATCATATACACTTAGACATATATGCAGTTATAACCTTTAGAGCACTGTCTTTTCTTTTGTACAATGACAATTACACATTTTGGGTTTTATACTCCCACAGTTCTTATTACTTTTTTTGAAGAGAGTAAAACCAAATGCAACATATCAGAACAGAGTCAGTCAAATCAAAAGGGTGGACATAATAGATAATGTAAAAACAAAATACAAGGCGATCAACAATGGTTACCATAACGCCTCTTGCTATTTTAAGAAGAATTGGCAGTTATAATAAAATTGAACTAAACAGTAAAGAATAACACCAAAGCATTGGAGACATTACAGGACTTTAAAAGAAGATAATAGTCAACCGGAATGGGCATCATAATGAATCTTATTGTCTTCACAGTTGTTGCCTATACTTTCGAACTTGGTACTATCAAGCTAAGCAGAATAGGGGAAAATCAGTCAAAACAAAATGGTGGGGGCAATACAGGGTTTCAAATCAAGTTAATAGGAAATCAAAGTAGGTTACTATAATGTATCCTGCTATTTTTTATTTTTCCCTTAATTAAAAAGATAAGAATAAAAAAGTAAATAATTAACAAAAGGAGATTGAGATAAAAGAGGGCATAACAACAAAACAGCACAGGTCAAAACGTAACCATTTAAGCAAAATAGTGTTAAACTACAAGATATCCTGACATAAAAGTAGTTACCATAGTGTCTCTTTCCTTGAAATCTTTGAGTATAACTTCGTATACTGTAGCACCAAACACCAACGTTTGTCTTTAAAGCTAATATGGGTCTTGACAGAGATTATTTGGATTTTTATTTATTTATTTATTTTTGGTACCAGGGATAAAGCTCATGACTTCACCCTTACCAGGTAGGTGCTTATGTCACTGAACTAAATCCTTGGACCTGGATTTTTATTCTGTGTTTTGATTCAGTCCTTTTATATTAAATGAACTCATGTGTATGTAATGAGTTCTACTGGCATCTGTTTATTGTTTTCTTTTCTTTTTTTTTGGTAGTGGGGCTCGAACCCATGCCCTCGTGCTTGCCAGGGCAGATGCTTACAACTGCTAAACTAAACCCTTGTCCCTGTTTACTGTTTTCTAATCATTTGTAGTGCTTTTTTTCTACTCTTTCTCTCTTCCATTGCAGTTTGATGACTATTGGGGTTGTTTGATTTGATTTCATTTGTTTGTGTGGTACCCATTTACCCAATGAGCTAGTGCAAGAGCTCACTACATATAGTATATGCTCATATGCTAATTTATGTTGAGTGACTTTGCTTTAATTGCATATAGAAATTATATATATCTACTTTTGTTTTCTTTTACATTTTAGATTGTTGCTATTATTATATGTATCATTTCTATATTTTGCATAATCAGTAAATATATTTACTGCTACTATTAATGTTTGCTTTTAATATTTTATGCTAGAGTTGGAAATGCTTTATGCTCCATCACTGTAATATTAGCGAATTCTGAACTTAAGTATATGTTTAGCCTTATCCATGACTTATTTATATTCAGGTTTTTACATTTTATTTTATTTTATTTATTTTGAGACACAGTCGCACTATGTAGATCAGACTGGCCTTGGACTCACTATGTAACTCAGGCTGTCCCTGAACTCATGATGATCTCCTGCCTCAGCCTCCTGAGTGCTGGATTATAAGTGTGTGTCCCACATCCAATTGCATTTTAATTCATATCCTTAAAATCATTATTTAAAAAAATAAGATAGAACTAGCTGTCATTAAATTCCTCAGCATTTCTTTATTTTGTAATTTTTATCTCTGCATTTCTATAGGACAACTGTACCAGGTATAATACTGGTGATTGGTGGATTTTCCTCTTTCAATATTTAAATGTATTATCCTACTCTCTCTTAACTTTCAAGATTTCTGGTGTGAAATTTACTAATAATCTTTGCTTCAGTCTTCCTTGGTATTAGTAGTGTTTCTTTTGCTAATTTAAAATTCTCTCCATGACATAGGAGTAGGTAAAGAATTCATGAACAGGACTCAAACCGCACGGGAAATACTTCCCAGAATCAATAAATGGGACCACTTCTTATTAAAAAGTTTCTGCATGTCAAAAGAAATCTCCAGCATAGTGAAAAGAAAACCCACAAACTGGGAAAAGATTTTAGTGAACTCTCTCTCAGACAAGGGCCTCTTGTCTAAAACATACAAAGAATTAAAGAAACTCAGACCTCCGAAATTCAAAGATCCAATCCAAAAATGGGCATCTGAGATGAATATGCAATTCTCAGATGAAGAAATGCAAATGGCAAATAAATACATGAAAAAATGCTCATCATCATTGGTCATTAGAGAAATGCAAATTAAAACCACACTGAGATACCATCTCACTCCTGAAAGAATGGCCAGGATCAAGAAAACCGACAACAAATGCTGGAGAGGCTGTGGGGAAAAAGGAACTCTCCTGCACTGCTGGTGGGAGTGTAGACTGGTACAGCCTTTGTGGAGATCTGTCTGGAGATTTCTCAAAAAGTTGGGACTGGAAATCCCATTTATTCCAGCTATTCCACTTCTAGGCATATTCCCAGAAGAACTGAAAGCATCATACCACAGTGATATATGTGCACCTATGTTTATAGCAGCACAATTTGTAATCGCCAGATCTTGGAAACAACCCAAGTGTCCATCAACTGAGGAATGGATAAAAAAGTTGTGGTATTTCTATACAATGGAGTATTATTCAGCTATAAAGAAGGATCACATTGAGATATTTATCAATAAATGGGCGCAGCTTGAGACCATACTCATTAGTGAAATAAATCAATCTCGCATGTGTGAATACCGAATAGTTTCCCTAATGTAAATAATGATTCAAATATATAAAAATATGTGGTAATCATGATTCCCCATTAGGTGGCCTTGGAGCCTTATAAAGTTTTCACTCATTAATTAGAAAGGCTTTATTCTGGGCTTCTTGATATGAAAATATTTGAAGCTAGAGTATATGAAGTTTTACCCAAATATTTCAAGGAAAAAGACACTATGGTAACTACTATTAAGTCAGGTTATAAGGTGGTGAAGTACTAGGTTATTGAAACGGTCATGCTGTGACCTCTATTGTTATATTGTTATGTCCTGTTTTATCTCAATCTCCCCCTTATTGTTTCAAAAAAAAATTATTTAGTCATTTCTTATGTTTGTCTTAATTAAAGAAAAAATTCAAAAAAAGTAGGATATATAAATAGTAACTCTTTTCGATTTCCTATTAACTTGTTTTGAAGTCCTGTAATACTCCCACGATCTTGTTTTGACTGATTAGACTCTGTTCCATTCTATATGATAGTATCAAGTTTGAAGACATAGGCAACTACTTTGAAGACAATAAGATTCACTAAGATACCCATTCTGGTTTGACTATTGTCTTCTTTGGAAGTCCTGTAATGTTTACAATGCCTAAGTTTTATTGGTCTTGTTCTCTACTGTTTTGTCCAACTTTATAATATCTAATAAGATAGACAATTCTTTTTAAGGAAACAAGGGACAACGTTGATAACCATTGTTGATAAACTTGTACTCTGTTCTACACCATGTGCT